AAAAAAAAGAAGGAAGTTATTTTAGAGAACTTAAGGGAGTTTTGATTTCTTTTGTTCTGTTGTCATCAGCAACAATTTGCTGAATTTGGTTTTTTATCTTATGCTAAACAAATTTAATAGTTATTGAATAGTTTATAAAAGTAAGAAAACACATTCTAAAAGTCGTTGTTTACTTACATAATTTGTATAATTGTTTGTGGATTTGCGGGGGGTCCCGGCTAGAAGCTAATGCTGTTTAAGGGGCCAAGTACTTTTAACACTTAAGTACATTTTACATCAGAACATTACTTTTGATACTTTGATACAATAAATGTTAGATACTACTTTTACTCAACTAGAAAATAGTTTACCTTTTACTAAAGTAATTTATGGTAAGACACTTGTTCTTTATTCAACACTGATATTCTCTCTGTTTTTTTGCATGTCATAAGCTTCGTCACATTTCCCATTTACTGTCATTATATTTGTTAACAGCACAGGTCATGAATATGAACCAATGGACAGTCACATTTAAAAATATCAGCTTTTTGAAAGAATGGAGAGTAGACAAAAAATGTTTTATCTGTAACTAAGAAAGTTTCCAACTTCTCTTTTATTTTCTGTACTTTTAAACACATTGTTTTCACAAACACAAAAACATTACAAACTTCTTTTCATCACATTTTTTAAAAAATAATCTCCATATTTTATATAATAACATATTACACTTAAATCAGCCTCTTTGGCGTTACATGTTTTCATCACAGAGTTTTATTTTCTAAGTAAAAACTTTATTTCCTAATTTGCTGAGCTGATATTGCAACCATTCCCCAAAAAAGAGGAAACTCAAAGGGTAGAATAATTTGTGTTGTAAGTGGAAAACCCGTACAGGATACAAAAAAAATGTTAACAAACACATTTACAGGTATTTCATCAGTTTCCTGGTCATATATGTAGATAAAAGGCAAGCAAAGGTTGTAAATGGAGCAGTCTTGAACAGCATTTAAAGGGTAAATTCATTTAAAAGTTAAATGATATTTAGATTTTATTTACAGAAAATGTGTAATTTTCTTTCCTTTTCATCCCCACACAAACCAGTGATACTTTCAGACATTTGCATAAATTTGATCATCCAAGTCAGTCTGCCAAGAAAAAAAAAACAATTAAAATGTCACTCTGTTTTTCTCCAGCTGCAAACAAACAACAACAAAACAAAGTTACGTACCCCAACGTTGCCATAAAAATGATCAGCATCAGCATCAGTTCCAGAACATGTGACATCACTGTATTTCTCTACGCTGGAGGAGGAAAAGAGAATGTAAATATATTTTTATTTGTTCTAAATAAACGTTTACAGTTAAAAGTTATTATTATTATTTTTTTTTCAGAACTGACCATGTGGTTGTTGAGCTCTGAGCTCGTTCTGTCATTATGGTGCTCAAATCAGACTCTGCTGTGTTTCTAGACCTCCCCCTGCAGGAAAAATGTGGTAAAGAGCAACAAAGGCTGAACTTTTCACAAATATCAGAAAATAACTCAACATGGTCACACGCTGGGTTAGCATCCCAGTTCTTTTTTTATATATTTCAAATTTAAATCAACAGACTTTTTGTGTAAAACCTACTCAACTTAAAAATATTAACCTACTGAATTTTTTTAGTTGGATTTTGCACCTAAAAGACATTTTCACTCCCAAAAGCCCAAATGTTTCTTTTTTGTTTCAAGTGGGGTTCTGTGGGAAAGGTATCAACATTCTTACTAGTTAAACTCAGATAGAAGATATACAGTTTAATTCTCACCAGATTGATAAGCTAGAGTTCATGTATGTTGGAAACTCATTAGTTTGGGACAGTTCTTAATTATTTTGTTAACCTTCATTTAACCAGGCAAATCCCACTGCGATCACAGATCTGTTTTGCAGAGGAGGCCCGGGCCTGATGTTTTGGGTCTGTGGGGGGAAACCGGTGCACCCGGAGAAAACTCAAGCAAGCACAAGGAGAACATGCAAATTCTGCACATATAGACCCCAGGTCCAAACGGGGGATTGAATGTCTTGCTGTGAAGGGTCAGTGCTAATTACTGAGCCGTCATGCTGCCAAATTCTAAGAAACTGGTTGGATTAGTCTCACTGAAGTCTGAGGGTCTGTAACCAAGAAATCACAGAACTCTGCAGCTGCTTTTTTAGCAGCCAATTTATGAAAATAGTTATTTTGTAAAAACTAGTAGAAAAAAAACTATATTTTTGGTTGTGCCCTTTCCTCGCCCACCTCTGCTCACATCACACTTCACTCAGTCTCATAAATAATGAGCTAAAACCTGGTGTGGTAGTAGCTTAGAGTCATCCCCAACATGTACTTTAAGTTCTAATAGGTCTCCTGTGCATTATGTCGTTTACAAAATTTGACTAAAATGACTTCAAACTCCACTCTTTTTCATTATTAGATTTGATGAAACCACATACTCATACCTTTAAGCAGTGGTGGGCACAGCTGAGCAAAACGTTAGCTTTAAATTTCTAACTCATAGTCAGCTAACCAAAAATACTGTAGCTTTGCTAATGCTAAAAGGGAGAAAAAATTTATGATGCACTGGCAACTGATCATTAACTGCTAGGATGACTGTCAGTCAGTCTGCATCAAACGTCTTTATCTCCTTTGAGCCGAAGACACAAACCTGTTGATTGCATGATGACGTCTGAGACTTTGGGGATTTCACACAATTCTTGCAACGACATTCCTGGCTCCCTCATATACTCATATTTGTACTTATGTTCTTTTTTTTTCTTTTTACACTAAAACTTTGTAAAAAGAAAAAAAAAGCAAACTTAATGTTGCCTAATTTAGCCTAAATAGTTCTTAAAGTCAAAAATTTAATCCGCTAAATGAAATTTTGTGCCGCTATTAATTGTTAGCCGTTTAATGAAACGCTCACCACTGCTGTCAAAGAACGGTAGACTTTGAATTTTATAATTGATGACTGTGTTCAGGTAACACTTAATTCTTTCAAGTACAGAAACATTAAATAAACATTTCAACTTACCATTTTAGAAAAACTCCAACTGCTATTAAAAGTAGCACCAAGAACCCTCCTGCTCCAGCGGCAATGAAGATAATTAAACTCATGTCTGTAAAAGATGAAATTACACACTGTTGAGATTTCTGTAATGATTAGTAACTCTTTATATTTKACATTGTTGAAGTTTAATACTCATACCCTCGGCCTGTAAAGGCAGTGAGAGTGTGGCACTGCCCTGCGTGTTCTTTGCCCAACAGTACACAAACTCGAAGGACTCAAACTCTGCCCACTGACCCGTGATGGTATAAGAACCATTCTCAATTTTTGCGGGGCCCGGCAGAATTTTGTCACCGAGCTTAAAACTGACTGCGCTGGGAGGATTGGAGTCCACGACACACTTGCACTTCACCCAGTCGGCCTCCGAGAAGCACGAAGACTTGTGGCTAATCTCAGGAGCGTCTGCAGAGACGGGAAAGCCGGTTACAGAGGAGTCCGGTTTGCCGATGATTCACTCCTCGGGATGTTATAGTTTACTCACACAACACGTTGAGGCGTACGGGGSCTGAAGTGTCTCGACCCTCTTCGTTGATGGCAGTGCAGTACAGCGYTCCTAAATGTCTGCTAACTTTCGGCAGGATGTAGAGGTTTCCCTGGTAAAGCCGTGCACCGGTTTCATTCYGCCACTCGTAGCTGCTAGCAGGAGGGTTAGCATCGCTGGAGCAAGTCAGGTCCACAGTTTGGCCCTCTCTAACTTCTGACCTGTATTCAACCGTTACATTCATCGGGGCATCTGCGTCGAAACATTTATTTATAACAAGAGGGTGTTGATTATGTATAAGTTAAGTCTTCTAGATTCCTCCCTGGCAATTCTTTAGTCTTTATCGTCACTCACAACTAAGTAGCAAACTAACACCACAAAAACACTGCACTTTTTTACCTTATATTTTTAGATCACTCATAACAGGGTTACACCCAAACACAGCAATTAAATTATCTTCTATATTTAAAGACATCACTCTCTTATCAGTTGAGTGCAAAGAAGACCAAGTCTAGGTGCATRAAATGCAACATTCAGAACAGAGTGAAGACATATCGTACCTTCAAAACTCATGTAATGAGTGAGATTTTATCAGAACAAACCAGTTCAATAAAACAGGATGCAACAAAACTACTGCAGAAACACAAACAAACAAACAAACAAACAAACAAACAAACAAACAAACAAACAAACAAACAAACAAACAAACAAACAAACAAACAAACATAAAACAAAATAAAACAAAAAACAAAACAGGCAAGAACTCCTCACCATCGTCCAGTCCCGATTAGTCATTGTTTTATTTAAAGGAGACATATCATGCTAAATGCACTTTTTTTTTT